TACTCATTCTAAAGGAAAATAGCCAAAAATACAAGTTATGTGGGGAAATTTAAAACATTGACATTCCAACAGGAATAAATTAGGGTTGAGGGGGTTTGATTCTACATTTCAGTTTGCAATTTGGGCATGTCACCAGGTTAAACTCCTGAATCTTTCAAAATATTATTTTTTAAGAAGAACACTATGTGAGTACTGAAACATATTTAAGACACAGAGTTTGTTTAATTTTAAATTGAAGAATGTTCTTTTTCTTTACTCTTTTGTGACAACTGGCCACATCCTCATTTCCTAGCCCAGCACAAGCCCCGCTGGGTGTAAAAAGCCACTTGCCTGTGCCACTCACTTTATCCTAATTGATTTCAGTGGAATTTGTGTGTAATAAATTGACAGGGTCTTCCCTTCTTGTGCAGCAGCACCGCTCGGCTGTGGATTCATTTCTGCTGCCAATATTCTCATCTGATTTCAGAAAGAAATCCGATGCTAACAACTCTTGAAAGGACAAGAGCACAAAAGAGAAGTGGCCTATCCATCCCTGTAGTTCAAGATGAATGAAATGCCAAAGTACCAGAACATATGTCAAAGGTGGGATGTGGAACACAGCTCACATGTAAATATATTTATAGTGATACTACTTCTGACATCACTGTCTCTTTCTCTACTAAGGCCTGGAGATAAATTATAAAATTAAACAAGCAAATCCTTCACAGCTACATTTTCTTCTTTAACACACATAACTTTGAAAATTAACTATTATGTCATAATACTTCTGCTGTTTCCACTTCTCCCTCATTTAGCTGCATCTATGCCATTGAAACCCTTTCTGTCATCTGATTCATGTCCAAGGAGGGTGTCACTGGGTTTGTTCCCTTTATTTTTCCAGGTATTGCCTCCAGGACTGATGTAAAATAAAAAAACAGTTAACAGCCACTCCTCCTACCCTGAAGTCATGTCCACAAAGAGCCCCACTACGTGGTCCATGTGAGATAAAGAAAGGCTGCCCCTGAACTGTGCACTGTCCATCAGCTGATTCACTGGCTGCTTGAAATACTCACTTGAAATTTTTTATTTGCATTGGTGAAAAGATTTTCACGGGGCCAAAAAAAAAAGCTAAAATAAAAATACACAGTTTAGAGGTGGAAAGTCAACGGACATCAAAATGCAAATATATCTGGGAGGAAAATAACCAAGTTCTGAAATGAACTCACTGTGTATTTTTTTTTTTAATTTTGTTTTCCCCTCTGTTTTATTTTATCAACACGGTGAAATCTGAACATTTTTTTTGATGTTGACAAACCTGAGGTTTCCACTAGTATGTGTTGAAATTGGTTCTTGTGGAAGGTACAAGACAGTCAGTACTGACAGGTAACCTCTGTCAGTAGCTAAACTCTGATCTACCCCATCCCCACTACATCAGGCAAAGTGTCTTGAACTTTTACCAAAATCCTCTCATATTAGGGACACGGTGTTGAGGGACAAAACTCAGAACAGCAATAGAGAAAACCTCCCAGTAGAAATGTTTTGCTTTTCTACCAAAGAACCAGAAGAAAAGCTGTCCCACAAAGCCAAAAGAATCCTTTTATTACTATGCACAATGAATGTCCACAGACCAGGTGAAATCCAGCAGCAAATGATGCTGGACACTGTACAACCCTAGAGTACAGCAGTCTCTGCCCCAAATTCCAGCCTCCAGAAACTCAACAACGGAGATGGGAGGAAAACAACCTAGCACAGGAATTATCAGTGCAATGGCAGCACACTGTGTTCCTTCCATTTGCTTGTACCGAGAAGGAAAAAATAATGCAAGATTAGCATCACAAAAGACAGAAGTGGGAAGAAGATGGGATCTGATAAGAGTCACTGAGAGGAGGGAAAAGGTGCTAAGGAATCAAGTGGTGTGCAGGGTGCTGGAGCTCCACAGCGAGTCAAAAGCAGGGATGCGATTCCGAGAGCAGGCAGGAAAGGAGGCTTGTGCAAAACAGCCGATTAGGAAAACATGGAAAAAACAATCCAAAATATCAGTCACCGTCGGCCTCCTCCGTATGCCACTTGTGCAGCTGCTCTGCTGGCTGCAGTCTTTGGTTCAGTGACAAGACCCTCGATGCCATAAGGGAAGCTGGGCTGACTGCATGGCAGAGGAATTCGATGTAAAAGGTGAAGAGGACACACCACATAAGAAGTAAGCTTGCAAAGAGAAGTGATGCACTCTTGGTTTTAGCAGAAATGTACACATTAGACACATGTAACAAGTGAGGGCTAATGCTTGCAGTTGAAATGTATTTCTGCATTGCACTTCTCAAATCAGTAAAGATGAGCCCTTACTGCACTGATATTAGTCTGACACAGAATACAGCATATTTAAATGCTATGATGAGCTCAACCTTTACTCCTGTAGTAAATCATAGCATTTTAAATTGTGACCGAATGGAAGATGCTAAGCATTTTGTGTTTAGGTTACTATAATGAATCTCAAATCAGTTATGACTGCAAGTTGCCTCATATATACATGATGGCTAATTGTTGATCCTAATACAATTCCCACTGCTTTGTCAAAGCATGGCAGAACTGCCACACTTGTTGACAGTTTGAACAGCGAGGTCAAGCAATGAGCAGCGCCCAGGAATGAACTGCTTTACCTCCAGAGGTGGTCACTGCAGAAGCAGGGCAGTACCACAACAGCTCTGCCACTTTTTGCAATGGATCTTATCAAGGACTGTCATTCTGCAGCCCTGCCTGAGCATCACATTCTCATGCTATTTTATTTGCAATCACATTGACTGAAAAGATGATTTGCTAATACGAAGTTAAAGGATAACAATCCAGCGACCTTAAAGAACTCTCTTACATTACCAATTTTGCGTGTATTTTGCAACATAACCTAGAATAGCCAGGATTTGAAATGAAGGATTTAAGTTAGAAATAATAATTAGAAGCTTTGCTCTCAGACAGATGAAATTGACCTATGGAAAATGATCACAGAACTCAAAGCGATGTATGATCCAGAACACCCAAATTAAAGTTTCAAGTGCTACACTGAGCCTTATTTTGAAAGCTCATAGTGTATGTTGCAATATTCTAATAATCCTTCATGTAACTGAACATGTGAAAAGGCTCTTCCTTCAGCTTACCTTGCACATCCCATATGAATTCTTCAAAACAAGATTCAGCAAGGATCAAAATGGACTACACTGAATTATTTTTATGATGTTTATTAACCGAGATGAAAACTGTTCTCATGGATGAAAAGCTTTAAAATTCTCAATTATGAATGCACTTTCTAATTACTATTTGATATTGTTTCCATATGTCTGAAAAAAAAGAAACTGACTGGGTAATTGACCAAGCAGTTACCTGGTTTCAGGGGATTTAAGTCTCCTTCCTTGTAATTCAGTGGCAGAACTCCAGCTGACTTAAAAACCAGTGATCCCTTTATACACTTCTACTTGTTCCATTAAATAGAAAAGTCCACTTCTGCGTAACTCTTCAGGTCAAGAAGACTACACCTGAGGCAGTAGATCTGAACGTGTTTGGCTCTTAGCAGGACATTAATCTAGAGGGTTTTTTCTGAATTCGTATAGTACATTCAATTAAATAAATATGATCACAAACTGCACTATATTCTATGAACCATTAACTGAAGAAGCAGAAACATCAATGTCAGAGTCATCTATGAATGTATGCCAGATCAGAACTCCAGTCTGCTTTACATTCCTGCTGACAGTTCCCATAATGAGCATGCAGCATTAAATAAAAACCATGACCTGTTTAAACAAAGATCAGAGCACCAGCTTTATCTTTGCATTCTCTAATGTTTGTTGTTTGGCATCACAAACTAAAACCAAAGCAAGTCTCTTGCTAATAGCAGCCCAGAAGGTTTTCATACAGGGCATGAGGGGATGGCTCCTGTCCACCAAGAACATTTGTGTGTCTTTAAAATGGGTATTTTACTTCACACGAACACACACACAGGTATTCTCTGCAGCTACTCTGCTTTGAATTATACCACAGGAGACCAGGAAGAGAAGAAAGGAGGTAGACAGGATAATGTACAAGCAAGTAATTTTAAAGATTTCTTGTGTCTCGGATAGCTTGAGACAATGAAACAAACCCCGAGAGCCAAGCTGAAACTGTTTAAACATACCATTGAAATTGTATGGGTAGTAACTAATATTAATCAGTTCACATACGCATCATTCACAGGAAAACTACTATATTTAATCATTTAAAAAAAAATCTATATACAAATAGAAATCAGTCCCCCCGTTATTTTTGTAGCACACTACCAGAGAATTAACAGTGTCTGGCATCACAAAACTGTTTATTATGAAGTGCAACACAGATTGCCATTTTACAATGACTCCATAACTGGTCTCAAAAGATGCATGATTTTTTGGTAGTCAAATTTCAGACATACACTTTTAAAATGTAGCCTTGCATTTTAAATGTCTACCTTAGAAAAACAGAGAGTTCACTTCATCACAAGCTAATCTCAAAGTTTAGTAATTATTAGCTATCAATTTATCCAGAATATCCAGAGTTCCTTTACACTAGTCTAAATTAACCACAAAATTCATTAAACTGAGGGTGAAATGGCTATCAATACCATATATTATCAGCAGATCTCTCAATGGTAATACTGTCAAGGTACAGACTGTGCAAGCAAGAATCTTCAACTACTGATCTTCCGACAACGCGAATGGAACGTTTGAAATCTGCCCAGTTTCTTCACGTTTCCCATCCATACCCTCTGTGTTACTCACGGACAAGCACACCCATTTATAAACGTATTCCACACTACCGATTCTGAAAGTACGAGACAGAAACCACTAATGCTAAGAAAGCAATGAAAAGAACTGAAATCTCTATCTAAACGTCCTCCTTTTTTTCTGTTTTTTGGTTGGGTTTTTTGGGGGGTTTTTTTGTTGGTCTCCTATGCTGCTTTGAGCGTGCTGGATACCAAATAACAGCGCAATAAATCGCATGCAAATCGGCATGAATCCTACCAAACTTATTCGAGTAGTTTCCTCCCGGAACAAAACTTTGGAGGTCACTCAATCCTCTCCTACGACAAAGGGAAGTTCTTCCTCTTCCATCACCCCTTCCCCGGGGCTGTGCGAGGGGAAACTAGCGGGGAAGGAGCTTTTCCTTCCGCGGGGGCTTGCTCGGCGGTGTTGGCCGGTGTCGCGGAGCTCGGCGCGGGGAGGATGCGAGGGACGAGCGGCCCGGGGGTCCCAGCCCGGCCTCCGCGGCAACTCTGCGAACAAAGTAACTTGGCGGCTGGGCGGCGGCGGGGCACGGCGGGGCAGGGGCAGCTCTGCCCTGCCCGGGGAGCGCTCGCAGGGCCGGGGAGAGCAGCCCCCGAGGGGAAGGCAGGCAGGCTCCCCGGAGCGCGGGGCCAGCCCTTACCTTGCTCCGCAGCCCGCTCCGCACGGCCGGCGGCTGCTGCGCCGCGGGGCCGGGGCACGGGATGCTGCGAGGCTCCCGGCGCCTCTCCCTCCGCCTTCTCCCGATCCTCAGAAAAGCCCTTCCCCCCCGCCACCCCTCGCTCCCCCTTCCACCGCCCGCCTCACTCTTTCTAGCTTTGGGGTATAGATATTATGTGTATATATATATGTGTATATATATATTTTTTTTTTTTTTTTAAAGAAGCAAAGAGAAAGCTTGGTTGGGAGAAGCAAAACCCTGACGCGCTTGGGGGTGGGTAGGTGGGGGGTGCGGCTGGGGGGGTTTCAGACCCTCGCACGGCGACACAGGCGGACCCATCCCCCCCCCGCCGTCTCCTCGGTCCCCCAGCCGGGGGAGGCGGTCGAACCTCACCGCCTTCCACCGATCCCGCATCGGGAACGGGCCCTGCGCGCGATTCTCCCGCCCGGGGCAGCCGCCCGGACCCCAGCCCCGACCCCCATCCCCGCGGGGGCAGCGGGGCGGGGGGGGGCTCCCAAATACGTACCCTGCCCGCCGGGGCCGGCTTGAAGACGCAGGATTTTGTGCGAGCGATCGTCTCCTTCTCCGGGAGCTCAGCCTCCCCTCCCCCCCGCCTCCCCTCCCCCGCCTCCCCCACCTCCTTTGGGGGGCCAGGAATCCCCCACCGCCGGCCCTGCCTCCTCCCCGCCCGGCCGGAGCGGTGATGCGCCGGGGCCGCGGCGCTGCATGGCCCCGGTGCTCGGTGCCCGCGACCGGGCTGCGCCGCGGCGGAACGCGGGCCGCCCCCTCCCGCCGCGGGCGCGGGTCAGCGGGGGCGGCGCGGGGCCGCCTCCGCCGGGAGGGGAGGCGGAGAGCCCCGGCCCCGCCGAGGGGCTGCGCGGCCCGGGACGCAGCATCCTCCGGGAGCTGTGTGACCGGTCCGGCCCGGGGCACAGCATCCTCGGGGAGCTGTGTGACCGGTCCGGGGCACAGCATCCTCCGGGAGCGTGTGTCCGGGGCCGAGGCACAGCATCCTCCGGGAGCTGTATGCGCGGTCCGGCCCGGGGCACAGCATCCTCAGGGAGAGTGTGTCCGGGGCCGGGGCACAGCATCCTCGGGGAGAGTGTGTCCGGGGCCGGGGCGCAGCATCCTCCGGGAGCGTGTGTCCGGGCCCGGGGCACAGCGTCCTCAGGGAGAGTGTGTCCGGGGCCGGGGCACAGCATCCTCGGGGAGAGTGTGTCCGGGGCCGGGGCACAGCATCCTCCGGGAGCGTGTGTGCGCGGTCGGAAGGCAGGAGCTCCGCGCCGGCCTTTCTGGGGGTGGAGGGTGCCGCTCGTCCCCCTCCTTCCCGCAGCGGTCAGAGGGAAGTTTGGTGCCCGGGCTGCGGGGGGGGGATCTGCGGGCAGCGCCCCGCGGACCGAGAGAGCCGCTGACCGTCCCTTCGGCAGCGCAGGTGGTGGTGGTGGGGGAGAAGGGCGCCCGGGGGACTCCGGTGGTCCGGGACCGGCGGGATGCAGAGCGACACGGGGGTGGCTGAGGGAAGGTCCCTTCCCTAGCAGTGCCTGATGTGTTTCTCAGAGGCACCGAGCACGCATAGCTTCCCTCTGCTTCGAAATCAGGCCATCGTAGAATCATAAATATATAATATTGCGCTCCTATGATATTATGAGTAGAGAGCAGGAGAGTTAAACGCATGCATTGAGGAGAGGCAAATGACATGTAAAGGGCTTTGCTGCACAACTGCAGAGCGATTCTCAAATGAAAAAAATTCAAATCCTTACAAGAATAAATTTAATTCCTGCTCGCATGTTCCCATATCGCCTGCTAGGCAAGAACGCGTGATGGATATCGAGCAACGATTAGTGGAGTTACATCTGGGTTTGGTCCACATGGTGACTTACTGCTGATCAAACAGCAGTCTGAAAATCCCGAGCTGGAAAAGACCCATTCTGGACAGAACAATTCTACTTTGCACATCTCTTCCAGGTCAGGGTGAAGCAGACAGCATTGGGAAGTGTCCTGGAGGAAAGAAAAGAAGCATCGAGCCCCACACACAATCCTGTATGACCAAGCAGAGCCAAACTCGCACGCTGGCTCTGCCCAGGGCACAGGGACCCCTCGGCTGCCCCCCGAGAAGTTCCTGTGCTCTGGGCAGAGGCTTGGAACCCCAAAACTGGAGCTGGAAACCTTCCCCCCCCAGCTTCCATCCCTGGCAAAACATACGTATTTATCTTGAAAGTTTGCGTTTTGACATGTCAGCGGTTCTGCAATATAAATGTGCTTGGGATATTTTTGATCGGCCTAATGGTTAGGAACTATTAGAAGCTGCAGAACATATTCACAATCAATCCACTTATTCAGGTGCATGAATACAAGCTTAGAAAAGTAATTACAGGCACCTTTTTTCGGAAATCTTGAGGCTGTGTGGTTTCCCCATGGGAAATATGAGTAATAAATTCCTACTTAAAAAAAAAAAAAAAAAAAAAGAAGCAAATGTGCTAAGCATTATTCTTATTTATTTTTGTCTTTAATATTTAAAATTGTTGATTAAATGTTCCAGGTGAGGCAAGGCTGGAGAAAAATTAAAATCCTTAATTTCAACTATTCTTTAAAAGAATAAACAGAAATATTTGATATCGGTAATTTAGATCTTCTTTACACTTTTTAAATTTTAGTTGTCTTTTGTAAGAGAAATGGGTTTTTATTTTTTTGGTAAATGTGTAAACAGAAATCAGCTGATCAGAATTAGCAGCTCTGGCTATTTTTGTTTTTCAGCTGAGAGTTTATGTTGCATCTATAGAGTTAACATCATATCTATACACATTAAATACATCTGGTTTAGGTTTAAAATATTTTATTCAAAAGTTAATTTCTTACCCTCTATTGTTACAATATGGTGAATAGTACTTGACATTTTTAGTTATTTATGATTTGCATCAAGTTCTCTTTGTATGAAAACTGACATTCAACTAAAATTTATTTGAGGTCATTTAAAATTGTTCATTAAAACCATCACAAAAGTGTTTGATGCATTTCAAAAGTATCTCTGCATTTTAAGGTATTTTATGAACTAACTGAAATAATGGCCCCTAGAAGGGGAATTAAATTGGTGGCATCTGGTAGCCATGGCTTTGACAATCTTAGAGAAAGCAGATCTTATCCTCTCACACTTGGGTTTAGCTGTAGATTGACAGAGGAAAATAGGCAATCTTACTTTTTCTTCTCTAATGTTGATTTTTCAGCTTTAATAGTCCTTAACTGAACTACTCAAATGGATTGAAACAAAGAAGATATTCACCCTGCCTGCAGAAGAATCTGCAGCTCTCAAAAATTGCTTTCCTGCATCAGCTACGTCCTGTTCCATCTGCTTAGCCAAGGCACTCAGGCTGGTGGTGTCACCTTCTGAAGCTCAGGAACAGCAAATATCTCTTTGTGACAATTGAAGAGGTGCAGACAAAATTTCAACAAAATGTTACTTGATTTTTATTTTTTTCTTTTGGTTTAAATAAAAAAATTTGGGGGAAGATGCTATGGAATTGTGTTGTCCAGCAAGGGCAGTATATGTAGGGATTTTGATCAAATTCTGGCATAATGAAGCAAGGGACCCCTAAATAGTTCCCTTTGGTTGTACAGATTGTTACTTCAAGGTGGAAGGGCTTATGTGTTATTATTAGTTTTGAAGATGGAAAATGCTCTCTGTGAGTGCTTAGGTAGCAACAAACAAAAATTAATTTCAACTGATAGGGGAGGAAATGATCCTCTTATCGAAAGTGAAAGGTGGTTGGGCAAATGAAGTTCAGACTATCACTGGGGAAGGCACAAATGGGTAATAAACATAAACCTGTGTAACAGTGCATCACTTCAGCTGAATTTTTGTACTTGATTTGGCTTCTTGGTTGCTGGCAATTATTTATGTGTGGTTTAAATTAAACCTGTGTTTCCAAACCACCTGTTAAGTGAACAAATCCAGCCTAGTTTAGGATTTTTTTTAAATTTCTTAGGCAGTTGGATTTTTCCAGATAAGAGTTAGTGCAGACTTCTGTCAGCACAGTGTCACAGCAGAAGAGGAGCAGCAGCCCACTGCTGAGTGACAGCCTACAGCTCTGAAATGTGCCATCCATCCCCTCGTAGGTTCTGTGTTCCCCATCACTTCTGGGACATGTCAGACATCCTGCACATGCCCTGCAGAGCTCATCTGTGCCTGTGCACTCCAGCCTGCACCTCCCAGGTGCTTTCCTGAGGCATCAGATGGAATGAACGTGTGCTAGGAGCAGCTGATCCACACAGTCTGGGTGGTCTTTGCCAGGACAGGGGGGTATGTGGTGCACCTGAGCTCTGAGGCATGGCTGTATGTCCCTGAAACCTGGATAAATGTGGAGGAACATCAGGTTGTGCCTGGGCATGGTTATCACATGGAGAGAACGATGTGTTGTCCAGGATGGAAAGATCTGTTCGTCAGGCAGTGGAGCTTCACACTGCTAACACACACACAGACACCAAAATAAAAGTTTACAGGATTTTTTTTGTTAAATTTTACATCTTTTCCACAGAAATGTGGAAGTGGGTCTGATGAATGACTAATATCCCATTGTCATTTCTTTAGGGGGGAGGAGGTGTCTAACCTGTGTGATATTTTTAAGCTAATAAACCGCTAGTTCTTAACACTAAATTTACCAATCAAATCAGCCTCGTGTTGTTTTGCAGTAAACCTTAGCGATCTCCTTTTAGCTGGGGTTAGGTGTTCCCTGCAACTCCTCATAAAATAGGGAGCTGTGGTACTCTGCCTGTGGGGAAAAAGCCTGGAGCCACATAGTGATGTATCTGTTCAGCAGTGTGAGAGAGAAATTCCCTATTCACAGCCCTGCTCAGTCATCATTGCCTGCCGGTAAACTTTAAATTGCCCGAGTTGCTTAATGTCGAGATTAAAAGCCATTTGTTTCTTTCTTGTCCTATGCTGTGTTTGGCAAAACAGAAGGCACAAAAGTCTCACAATTGCTTGGATGCCCAGCAAACAGTTACACATTGTCCAATTGTATGGGTTTTTCTTGTTCTTAAAAATATGGTCTAATAATGCTATAGATACCAGAGGACCTTTCCATTTGCCCATTGTGAGCAAAATGAAAAGCTGAAGTCTTGAATACCAAAGTGCAATTCTGTGATTTGTAAAACTGAGTAGGTATATCCAGCAGCTACAGAAAAATGACAGGACAAAACCTCAAACAAGCCATCATAGTTTCTTCCCAAAGATGCCAATAAAAAAGGCTTTGGAATAATATTCAGCGTTTAATTAAGACAAATGAGAAATGTCACAAATAATGCGTGTTACAGGTCACAACAAAACCATGTGGAATGTAGAATTTCTCCTGTAGAATTTCTCCTTAAGCACTGATGTAATTCCAAGTCTCATTTAACATGAGTTTTTCTTGAACTTTACTACTGTGTCAGAGGCTGAGATGCTGCAAGTAACTCTAAAACCTGAACAGCGGTTGCTTATGTTCCTAACAGCAAGATGAAATATCTGCATCCTCCTGTATTAAAATAGAAAATGAAGTAGAGAGAATAAAAAAGAAAACAAAGTATTTGCATTTTGAAAGCTGTATTATATATTTGGAAGAGCTCGAAAAGATGAGCTGCTTTTCAGTGTTATAAATTAAAAAATATTACTGGGTGGCCATCTATAGCAATAAAAGGTTTTTGGATTGGCTGGTTGTTTTTTTCCAGTGATATGTATTCTTCAGCTGAGGGGAAAAAGTCCATTTTAATGATCAAGTGGACATATTTGTGCTCCTATTTTAGGAACACATTCCTTTTATAGGCATTAAACACAGTTTACTATTGGAAATTTTTCATTTATTACATCTGCTTCATGTAGGATCTTTCATGTAAACATTATGAAAAGGATTTAAGTGTTGGATTTAGAAGTTGGGGTTTGGGGTTTTTTGCCCTTTGTTCTCATTTTGTATTTTATTTCTTTGGAGAACTCTTTTTTTCCCCCCTTTCAGGAAATTTCACATAATCTTTTCCATTCGTCATCAGCCAGGTTGCTGATTACCAGAGTAACTGCCAAGCTTTCAACTCCTTGTCATCAATGGGCTGTGAATGACAGACAGCATTAATGTTGGCAAGCTCCCACTCTCCTTTTTGCCTTTCCCAAATGTAATTAAACTGCACTAATACAGCAAAAGAAAAGCTGCAGCTTTATTTTACTCACCCTAATAACATAACAATTAAATCAGAGAAGCACACAATTCAGTCAAATAAAGCCACCACGACAAGGAGATTCAGAGGTAAGGGAAGGGTGGAATCCCTCTCTTAGAGCCTGGGGAAAGGCCTCCAGTGTTTGCCCTTCTGTTGCATCTTTGGGTTAAGCATAAAGGGAATGATTAACTTCTCCTACAAGTGACCTGCTGTCCCCCACACGGGGGATGGCTGGATAAGAAACAAAAAGGATGATGGCCAAGGCAGCTGCATGCCTTGGCCACCAGAAGGACATGGCATTCTCCTGAGCTTTGAGGAAGCCTTTGCTTTAATGTCTGTAGTGGCTAGAGGACAGCCAGGAGTCAGGGAGAGGGGAAAACCAGAGTCCTCACCTCACTTGCAGGGCGCTGTGGAAATCTGTGGAATGTACATACACCACTGAAGCAGATAAACTATAAGGAGATGAATATAAATATATATATATATATGTTTCCCTGGATCGAGGCCAGCGAAGAAGTTACTGGCTCATAGAAAAGCAATGGAATTTCCCCATAAACCTCTCATTTCTTGCAGCAGTGTTCTAGAATGGGAAACAAGCACTCCTAAGGAGGCTGAGAACTGCCTGCCACGAGCTCTGCTAGCACAGCTCTGAGGCTGGCATGAGAGCCTGTCTCATCCTTCAAGCCATCCTTAAAAGTAACACAGTTGGCTTACAAGACAAAGCAAATTTACAGTAATGCAAGGGAATAGTTTGACTAAATGCTGACAGAAGAAAATAAATCCTGTTACACAACTAGCCAGAAGCAAGGGGCACCATATTCAAAATGGAAAAGCCAGGACCTCCTCAGCCTGTATTTGACCAAACCCTTAGGCCAGCCTGACTAAACAGACTGAGTGAGTCTGTCTGCTTGTGCAATTCGGGCGAATAATGGTGACTGTTAGCTGACAGGTGGTACCTTATAAATCCAGCCTGTGCCAAATTCTCTGAGGAACTGTTCAGTACATACTGTAAGTAAATAAGTAAGTTCTGTGGAGTAAGTCTTTTACAAATTGTCCTGCAATGCCAAAAGCAGCTCAGTATGATGATAATTTTCCAGACAAAGAAACTTGGGCTGAAATAATCTTTTAGACAAAGTTTAAAGCAGGATGTTATGGGTTATATTTTTTGTAGGTCTAGAGCTGGGGTGATTTTTTTATATGCCTGCTAATAAGTGTAGTGAAAAGCAAAAAGAAAAAAAGGGAGGCATGTAAAACATAAGAATGTAAACCCACTGGAGAAACACCATAGTTGTATAGGGGGAGCACTAAAGAGATGGAGTTGGATGTTTCTGTTAGATTTGTTCTGATACAGTGCTGTTGCTTTAAACAGACAGTTGCAAAATGGCCCAGAAGACCTTTTGGTTGAGTGTCATGATTTTCTACTTGATTCAGCAAAGATCAAGGCTGCAGTGTTCCAAGCCAGCTCCAGGCCCTCAGAGGGAGAAACAGCACATCAAACACCCACCTCATCTGTTTTTGCCATCAAGCAAAGAAAGAAGAGGCCACAAAGGATGTGGAAAAAACCTATCAGAAGGGCATAACTGAGCCTTCAGCTGTTCTTGTGTGTCAACCATAAATCTTGTTAGGGAAAAAAAAAAATGCATGGCAGATTTGGTTCCTGTGTAGAAACTACCTTGAACACTTTAAAAGGCTTGCTCTGAGTTTTCCATGAATACATGATTCCCAAGACTCTGTAAAAATTTAATCTGATTTTCAGACTGAATACTAAGTGAAGATTGGCACTAGAAATTGGCCCTAAAAATGAGAGAAAATGCTTTTATTGCAAGCAAGGTTTGCAGCATTCAGTGTGGTGGCCTTTGATTGTTGTAGTGGGCAGCTACATTTGAGGCACTGCTAAAAGTGGCTTTGGTCCAGGACTACTCCTGGCTCACTCATTTCACCTAAATAACATCCTGGGCACATGTTGGTATCTTTGAACAAAATAAGATATATTTACAAATGGGTTGGGATCAACGCAAAGCTGCTGGCCTGAAACTGCACCCAATGCAATGAGGGTTGTGCTTAAAATAATGAATTTGGGACTGGCACATATAACAGCAAGGAGGGAAATCTACTCTTAGGATCTGAGAGCTCCCCAGAGACTTCCAGATGTGCAGTTTTGAGGGACTTTAATCCTACCAGAGAAAGTTTTTTTCCTGTTTTTTCTTGTTTGTTTGTTTGGGGTTTTTTTCAATATTATATAACATTTACATAAAAGGGGAAGGAAAACAATGTCATTTTAATGGTCATTGCATGATTTACTATTCAGAGATGAAATGGCTCTCTTTTTTTCTCTGTTAACTGACCAGGGCTGTAAACCTCATTTTCAATTAGACATAGATGCTACTGCTTATAGACTGGGTATTGATACAGGAATTAAAATTACTGAAGAGGATGACAGCTTATTGAGAGTCAAAGGTGAACCTCTCACGGGAAAAATTACCTTATGTTCTGCAAGTGGTTAAAACTGTAGAATATGCTCACAGCTACTTGTAGGAAAGAGGCTTCTGGTGGGAATGGCTCAGCAGTGGTTCTTCAGATTCAGAACTTCAGAACCAGAGGGGCAACTTATTTCCACCACAGGCTGGAATAACTGGTGCTGTGGTTTTGTAGTAACCCAAAAGCATGGTCTGAGGCTTTAACATTGACTGCTATTGATGTCTTGTCCAAAAAACTTCATTGTGGGATTGATTGTAAATGCCAGCCTGAACAAGAAAGGAGCAAAGAATTGATTGTTCAGGGCAATGAGCATGTTTGGGGAGAGGTGGTTTTTTCCTCCTCTCCTGTATTTTTCAGAAGTGCAAATCCAGTGGAACAGTTGCTCCAGGGATTCCCAAGAAACTGAGTGATTCCCATAGAGAGAATCTGCTACCAGAGTAGTGTGCCATTTGTAACAGCCATCCTGGAATACAATCTGTCCCAGTGTGAGTGAAAACCCCAGACTTTTTTCACCTGAGTGAAAACTGCATTCACAGTGGAACAGCTCAGAGTTTACTACCAAGTTCTGTATAAAAGATGAGAGGAAAGCAGTAGATTATAAGATTTATTAGCTGGCTCTAGATCTATTGAAAAAAGAAAGATGTAGTGCAATGTCATAATTTAAAAACTGCTCATAATTTGAGGTGTTGTGAAGTGGTATGATCTCCTTAGCATGGGTTACAAATGGATGTAGAGGTTGCTAGGAACCATTGAGACACAGGAAAAGCCTCTCTTGAGCAGGATTTTGCTGAGCAAATATTTATGATATTTTTAATAACGACTAGTATTTACTATTTCTTTGGGAATTTTGCAATAGTTCCCAAAATTACATAGAGATCACCTGGGAAAGCATTGTCAGGGCCTTGATTGCACTAATAAGTCTTAATGTGCCTGACAAGCCCCAGCTGAGCCCTCTACCCACAATCCTTGAGAGACCAGGAGCTCTATTTAAGCTCAGCCCCAGCCCTTCTTTCTTATTTTGAGTTTTGCTGGAGAAGTTATGGGTTAGAGCCCTGCTATGAAGCCAGATTTGAACCCATGCTCTGACTTCCTAGCTTGACCTGAACCTGCCTCATCATCACAGTCTTGCCTTAGGACCTGGATTCTTCACTGGACTTGGCCACCATCTCTGGATTCGTGCTTGCAGGTATTCTGAGTTCTGTGGGATGGAGCTTGGCCAGTGAGGCACCTGTCTTGGTGGCCCCAGCAGTTCCCTTGTCTCACCTTCCTTTAGGAAATAGCCTTGCCCAGGTTGCTTCCCCACAGATACAAAGTAGAGCGGGCTGCAGCAAAGAGGATTGATTAGTTGTGACATTTTGGACTGGGTCATACACAGGTCAGGGAATAAGTTTTGAATTGAGAGTGTTTGTGTAGATTTTGAGACTCTAGGAAATCTATTAAGTACCTACCATCTCAGTGGAACAACTTCTGATAAGATAGTGGAGGAATTCAGAGTGGATGCTGGCAGCTCAGTTTTTTATCAACAAGAAGCAGAAATTAGCATTTTGTGTTCCTTTTGAAGCTGTAGGAGTGTGGGCTCCTCACTCTTGGTGGAGGGCTGAAGACTTTGGGAGATCTTCTACCTGGAGTTTTTTGTGGCTTAGCAATTATTTAGGTCGTTCAGAACCCTTAATTTCAAACGAAGGATAATTAAAATGTCCTATGCTTGCTGGATGTGTTTAAAGACAGTCTGTGACAAATGGGACTGTCTACTACTGATATTCTGAGTGTGTAAGCCAGAAGTGCTCCCCTGCTTTTGGGTGTGGGTGCTGTGCTGATGCAAGACCCAGACCACACGAGCCCTTCATCCAGGGGAAGCTTGCAGTTTCTCAGCTGGGGAGATCAGGACTGCCAGAGATGACTCTTTTTCAGTAGCAACAGTGTAATTCCTCAGATAAAGAGGATTTGTTAAAAGCATCTTAGGCCCTGTTTGATTTTACTGGAGCTAGGGTAGTTGCTAAGTTTCTGGCAAACTTTGGAGATTATCAT